AGATACCATCAATATAGTATTGAAGGATCCTTGAAGCCCCTGGAGGTACCACGATGAAAGGGACAAAGATACCATCAATATAGTATTGAAGGATCCTTGGAGCATCTGGAGGTACCACGATGAAAGGAACAAAGATATCATCAATATAGTATTGAAAGAGTCTTGAAGCTCCACGAGCTACCAAATTAATGTCATGCTGTCTGTTTAAATAAATGAAGAAGTTATGAATCCAACATGCCTTTTCCGCTACTTGACTACGCCATCAACCTGAGTTTCACAATCAATGTGGTTACTGACGCCTTCTTAAAGGTTTAGCTTTAGCGATTAAAAACAAAAGAGTAAACCAGTAAAATAAAAATTGTCCGAAGTGACTTTAATGTCCCCGTGACACAGTACAGATAAAATCAAGTCAAGGTCAAATATTTCCACACAAAGTTTGATTAATATGCCAAATTTCATGCTTAGACTATAAGTTGAAAAATTGGAGCTAAAATTGATTTATGCCTACTGTACTATTAGGGTCGTGGATTTGTAAGTCCCTATCTACTGTGGAGCTCATGGACACGCAACTCCCCTAAAATCACTGCCCCCTTATTGGCTCTCTGGACTTATGACGCTTTGTGCAGCTTTATTTGGTTTTTACCAATTAAGAAACAAAAGAAAAACAAAATCAACCCATTTTCTTGTCTTGGGTTCCAAACGTTGTCGGAATGTAGTGGTTGAGATTTATTTTCTTGTAATGACTGTAAGTACAGTGTGTATTTTCATACGCTATGTTCATGCGAAGCTCATTATGAAAAATTATGACATTTTTTTCTTTTTGTTGTTAGAACCAGGGGCGAGTGACACTTATTGAACATAAATAAAATAATTTTCCTCGCTTGGATCAAACCAAGATCTAGGTATAGATACAATTAAATGAACGAAAACGTCTGTTGTAATGAAGTTTAAAACACTCATAGAAGTAGGATTTGGGAAAATAATATAGTCTGATAGTTGATATTAATTAAGAACTTGTGCATAAAAATTAAAGTATTTATATACGGAAAAGAACCTAAAATTCATAACTCCTCAAACTTCACCAGAAGCGACACACACACACACACAGATGAGAGAATTTTAACGCTCGGTTAGTTCTGTCAATATAAAAAAATCCCATAAACATACAAGGTGCGACACAAAGCGGTGTGTCTGCGGACTAATAACGCTAAAAAACGGGTTTCGATACCCGTGGTGGGCAGAGCACAGATAGCCCATTGTGTAGCTTTGTGCATAATTCCAAAGAAACAAACATACATACAAGGTGCGACACAAATATGAAAATCAATAGTCAGTTGTATATACACAAAAATTCACGAGAACTAAATATTACTAAAAGTAAGTTTAGTTTTATTGAACACTGGCCATTTATAGCTTATATCAGATTTCTTTTTTCATTTGTAATAATTCTGATACAAGAGACTTACAGATTCGTTGTCGATTAGCATGTTTTCTCTTGTGTCCACCCAGAGCACCATGGCCATGTAAAAACGTCAGTTTGGGATGATCATCAAGTTCAAAGTGACCCTCTTTCTCATGATGATGATGATGATGATGACTGTGTGTCACGTTGTCTTCTCTGTGATCGTCGTTGTCATCGGGGTGGTCTTGGTGGGAATGTTCGGAATGATAAGCGAGGGACATTCCACCTGAATGATCAAATGTCCATAAAACACTTGCTGTAACATAATGGACAGGGGTCGACCGAGTCAAGGTCAACATTGACAATATAGAATTGTATTGTGTATTTAGGACACTTAATTGAATTACGTTTATATTAATTGTTACGTATTAGAATTTCGAATAGTCCAAAGCCGAGTTAAATCATTTAAATTTAGTAGTTAAATTGTACTTTGGATTTGGTATTTAAATAAATGCCGATATATCAGTCAATTTGTAATATTTGCCAACAAGATTGATACACACAATTTTCTTTTGTAAACACAAATACGTTTTGATATACACACAACAGCACAATTTACAATGACGGTTATTACAAATAGTTATTACAAACAATGATTTATAAACAGAAGTTTAACAAACTTACAAACGATATAAAGTTTTCCTTATAGTCTAGAACTTCCTTGATATCTTATCGAGGGTTTACGATGAGCGAGTTAATTACGAGTTGATGTAGATACGATCCGCTGGGAAGGTAACTAGCTTTGTCCTTGGCCACACACACTAGGTTTTCCACGATGAATGTATATGTCTT